GTTTAGGGTGGAGTGTAGAGTTCGGATAATTCTCGGGGTTTCTTGAGACTAGTGGCTCCCTTCAGGGTTCTTCACCATAACAGTAGTGGGAATAATATTAATGATAATCGTCATCACAGTCGTAATACTAATAACCATCATTAACTTGAACTAATAGTAGTAATAACAGCCATCATATATTTGTAGTAATAAGAATAATGAGATTCAGGGTTTATTATTACAGATAATAAGCATCCTGCTTTAAGCTAGGTTCTGCAACCTGAACCCCCAAACCTAAATGCTAAACAGAGGCCGGCAGCCCTATAACTGCCAAACGCCAAAATGCAGGCTTGCCAGTCGACAGATGTCGTCATCATCTTGGTTATCATCACACGAGGAGTGTTTACGATCATTGCAAGCTGCCTCAACAGCAGAAGCTCTTTGGAGCGGCTTTGGGTACATCCCCTTGCTACACGACAATGTCTAGACATGTGAAGCCTGGAATCATACAAGACAGTCAGACTTGAGGTGACAGTCAGACTTGAGGCAGGCCTTCGGAAATTCAGGAATTGGTCAGTGGTCATTCTGCAGTTGCCTGACCTGCCAAAGTGTCACATGCGGTGCTGACAAATCCGACAGAACCCCAAGGTTGCGCTGTAATAATGGGGCCTAAATAATTAGCCAATACTATTTTGGGGGGCTCCTTATTAAAATTGTAGTATAATGGGCCCAAAACGCTATTCTAATTATTAAGGCCCCTATAGTAACTCCTGAACCCCGAACCCCAAACGGGCCAAGCCCTGGACTTTACCGCCTCGCCTTGGCCGCAATACTCGAAACCCTCTTCGTCCCCAAGAACCACCTCTGCGATGAGTCTTTCAGAAACCTGCAACCCCAACCCAACACCCTACACCCGGAAGCCTAAGCCCAATGAACCCTCAGACCGAAACCCAAGCTAACACCCCAAACCTTGAAAGCCTCAAGGCCCCAAGAGCCCAAGAGCCTAAGGAGCCCTGACCCCCCAACACCCGGAAGGGATCCGTCTCAGGCGCTTCCACTGGGCCTTTCGATGCTCTTCCTCTGGCTCTTCGGCCCTCCGCCTCGAACTAGTATGGGAGTTTCCGAAAATGGGGGTACCTTATTCGGGGGTCCTTCTAATCGGGATCCTACTACTTCGGGTACTATAATAGGGATCCCCTATTTTTGGAAACTCCCGTATAGGTGCCTGAACATGACCTGTAGTTGTTTTTTTTTTTTTTTGGGGGGGGGGGGCTCCTCTTTCTTATTTGTGATTATTGCACAATACATCCCAAAACCCTGTTCTCATGATTCAGAGCCCCATATTATTCTCTGCTTAATTCAGCGACTACAGAGCAATTAGTAGACAGGGCCTCCATGGTTTGGGACTTTGCGATCTAGGGCTTGGGTTTGTGATATCGGGGGTGTCAGAGCTCGGAAACATAAGTACCTCTTGTGTGGGTGTTGCGCAAGGTTTCATACAAGGTTTCATACACGGGCTTACGAGGGCTTTATCAGGGCGTATAGTGCTCATAAGGGTTTTCGAAGAGCTTTACACGGGCCTTGTGAGGGTGTGTACGGCTTTACAGGGATTCATCTGGATTTAGGAGTTATCAGCCTATCCTCTCACAGTCCGACTGTCTTCATGCTACCCCAAATGTTAAGGGTTGTTGAGAGCGGCAACTTTGGGGTTTAGGGTCTGGCGGAGGCTGTAGGATTTAGGGTTGCTTTAAACGTGTGTCTCACCTCACCTTCTGAACCCCTTCTAAGATATTACGGCTTGCAGACTGTCAGGTTTCCAGGCTTACAGCTTGAAAGGGGTGTTTCAGGAATGGTATGAGGCGGCTTCGGATAGGCAAGTTATGCATGGCCAAGAAATACGAGGAACAGGAGGTCGGTTGCTGCTGGGCCCATGTGTTTAATGCTGTCTTAGGCAGTATGGGCGGTATGGATACAAGTGAGTAATAAATTGTCATGATGGCCTAGGACCAAATTGATTTAATTGAACCCCCCGCAAAAGTTGCATACTAATTTGCTACAGCTAAGTAATCATATAGCCTGCTCAATTGCTAACGGATATCACAGCACCGAAGAGCGAGGGTGTACTGCAGCAGTAACTGCTGCCAGCAGGGAGCCTTCGGGCCGTAGGACCGCAGGCATTGCCCGGCAGCTGCAGGCTGCACGTGCCGGGCACTGCAGGAAAGCGCAAGACTGCAGGGACTGGACTGCAAAGCTGCATCAACTGCAGGAACGACGGCCTCCAGGGGCTGCAAAAGTTGAGAAAGAAGCATTGAGTGGTGGGAATACTGTAAGCATGGACTCCCACTACCAGTACTCCCCCACCGAAACTGATCTTGCTGGAAAGGCAGGAGGGGTTTGATAGGAAGAAGCGAGTACGATTGCTACATTCTTCCGGTATCACTGCTACTACGTCACTGTTCTCATAACCAACACATTGCTATCACGATGGTTACAGTGTGTATTATTCATTGCTCAGTTGCTTTTCATATTGGTATCCTGGACTTTGCGGGCTAGCATGTTCGTTCGCGCTAGCGATGAAGCCTGCTACTGGAGCCGAGGCATCGACGCCTTCGTGGACAACGGCGGCTCTGTTGCATTGGGGCCAGAGTTTAGTGTTCGTTCCGGGTTGAGGGCATGGGGTTTGGGAATTCGGCTTCAAGCCCACATTCGCGGACTCGCGGACCCGCGGATGCGATTGTGTGGGTGTTGGCGGCGCCATCGAGACCCACTGTGGAAGGGGATCCGTCACGCCGACCGTCACGCGACCTTCTCACCGCAGCGACGTCTGCAATTGCATTGTACCGCAACTTCCCTCTGCCCGAGTCTCGTAGTGGTGCAGAAAAATCCTCCGCTGCTCTGATCCGAACTCCCACCCTAAGCTGGGAAACGAGCTTCTTCTCTTTCACAGCAGTTTCCTAAAGCGTGTAGCAGCCCTAGCTTACAGCTTCTGGATCCGAGGTGCATTCTGGGCCAGCTTCGTCGTCTTTGCAGGTGCCGACGAGTTTGGTTCTTTCGTGGATGCTTCGAATCGCGGATGCCAGAGTCTCCTGAATAGCATTGGGTAGCTATGCAGCCTCAACAAATCAAATAAAGAGCGGGAGCACCAACCATCCTGTTTGTTATCGCCACCATGACCGTTAGCATCGGTAGCAGCACCACCCGCACCAACAAGATCGCCACCAGCAGCATCCTCCTGATCCTCCTCGGCATCCTCATCACCACCACCGTCATCATCACCATCGCCACCACCATCATGATCATCATCGTAGTCATCACCATCATCCTCATCCTTATGAATCATCATCTTGTTCATCGTGGTCCTCGGTTGGGAAGCGATGCTTTTGGAGCTGCGCAGCTGTCCGTATCTAAGGCAGACTCGACACGCGTCATGAGCTGGGAATTGGGTCTTGAGCGAACATCCATGTCCCTCCTTGATTTGGAGCTCGGAAAATCAGTGCACATAGCTTCCTGAACGACGTGTTTAGGAAGTTGAGGCCTTCGGGTTTGCCAACATAGCGGGGTGCATGTTCCGTTCTCCCCCAACAAACGATCATTGTAGAGTCCACACTGAAAATATTGCCTTCTGCAAGAAGCGCATGGGATCCTCATTCTACCCGCTGAGGGCAAGCGAACCCAAACCCAAGAAGCTGGCTCAAAACCGAGAGCAGAACCGTCAAATCCCAGACCCCAAACCCCAACTTTTCGTCACGCCGTTTGTGTTCTCCCCTTCCACCTCGCCAGGCTACGGATTCGCCATCGCGCCCTTCTCGTACCTGCTTGTCGGCCGCATGGTTTTGGGTCCACTCGTCCAGGGAGTTAGGGATTCTTGGAGCTTGAGGGCTTGTGATTGCGGGTTTTGGGTTGGGGCCTCCGGTTTTTTGAGAGTGAAAGCTTGGAGGGGTTAGCATCTTCTTTTTGGGGGTGAAGGTTTCAAGGTCGAGGCCAGGACGCCAGCTGGAGCAAACGAAGGTCTCTTCGGGTCAGTTTCGGCTCCATCGATTCTTGAGGCCCGAATCATCCACAAAGTCTAAATTCCCGGACCATGCCAGCCTCTCCGGCAGATCCCCTGCCAAGTCCCGAAGACATCCTGTCGAGTTCACGCTGAAGGTTGTCGTTTCTTTTTGCCAAGCACACCTCCGCGCAGATCCTTTCCCTGGTGTGGGAGCTCAGAAAGAGTTCTGTAGGGCTCGGACCAGTTCGGTTTATAGATTCGGACCAATTGGCTTTAGGATTCTGGGTTCAGGCTTTTTCAGGCCGATCTTCCACATGGGTGTAAACCCCTCTCAGCTATAATTTAGCATACGTGTCAGTCAGTCTGTGTATGTCCTTCGGTGGTTTCAGCGCATTTCATTTTTGTTCATCGGTGTCCATTTTTGGCAGGTTGTCGGTGGACCTCTCCAGTCACCTAAGGAAGCGCTGCCCTTGGGGTAGCATCTATCAACAAAGTTGTGCCAACACGGCTCATGGCACGTGGCCAACTTCTGCTTCGAAGACCCATATTGCTGCGGTAGCATCGCCAGCGGTGAGCAATTGCGTGGCTGGGCTGACAGGTGTTGCGCACCGACTGTACCATGCAGTCGCCTGTTGGACCCTCTCAGGGCTGAAACGACTTGATCAGCAACTATCTATCTCACCTGCTTGCTTCCAGGCACTGTTGTGCAATTCCACACAAGCTACAAGCGCTGCAACACACTTTTGCAATGCAGTAGAAGCCCTACATAACCAAACTCCAAAGCCTAAGTCTTGAGCCTTAATGAGCCTTAACGCTCCAGGTGGGACAAGCTTCTTTCTGGGTTAAGGTAGCTGTCTGGATAGTTTGTAGCAACATTCCTTCGGGGTTCACTCATAAATTTTCAGTATGGAAACCACCCAAAGATTATTGTGACTGCTGTATTTCAGGGAACGGTCACCATGCTCTATCCTAACAAATCCTGGGCACCATCCAACTTGAGCCCAAAAAAGTATTTGTGCAGCCGGCAGCAATGGGAGATGACACCTGCATGCTGCTCTTGAACAATGAAGACGATGTGACAAAGCAGATCCTTTACGAAAGTGATGAGCGACTGAAGCGGTACAGAAAGATCTCAATCGAGGACCCGGATCATGTGCAATTTGAGTTGGATCTGACGGTGAAGGAAAGCCCTTTGGTGAATGGCTTGCTGACTTTGGTGTCTGTTGCAACCTTCCTGGCCGGTTTCGTGGCCACTGACTTCAGTGGATTCCAATCTGAGGATTGGCAAGACGTCCACTGGATCTGCAAGTGGCTCTACGTGTGCTTGTTGGCGTATGCTGAAGGCGCGTGCCTCTACATTGCCATTTGTGGCACCATGGCATGTGCAACCCACCTCCGTGCAGCTAACCAGATGGAAAGATGGGAGAACCGGTGCCGCATTGCACTGGAACCTGTCCTACAGAATCTGGACCAACTCAAAGGAAAGCGTGTGGACACCATTGAGGCGGTCCTAAGAGCTGTTATTCACAGTGAGTCGGACTGGGTAAATACTTGTGCTGTGGCCCTTGGGACCGGATGGGATATACCAATGGTGCGCTGGGATTTTAAGCCAGGTCCTACAGGTTCAGATGGAGAATTCCTTTTGACCATCAGGGATCCTGTGAGCATCATGGGGGTTGCATGCGGCTTGTTGTATCTCACCGATCTCAACTTTCCCATTGCTATTTGGTGCTTCCTCTCCGCGCAGACCCTAAAGGCTTTGAAGGGTGAGCCTCTGCATATCGTGCTGAGCATTGTTTTGATCATCGCTTTCTGGCTGCTGAAGATGGGCTACAGCCTGCGCACCCTCTACAAGAAAATCTTGGACTGAGGGCCATAGAGTCTGCACAGAGCTGCCTTTTCTGCACGTCACCGTTTGCACCTGAAAATTCGGAGCCCGTACATGGAGTCCTGCACAGGTCTTGACATAACACCTAAACCTTAAATCCTAAACCCTAAACCCTAACAGGTATCTTGGTCCGACCCAGTGTCCGACCCAGCGCCGCGGTCGGTTCTGAGATCGAAAGATGTACCCTACCGTGGTAGCGTTTCGTCACCCTGTGATGTCAACTTATGTCTTCGTGGCGGTGGTGTGCCACCGATGTGGTTGAATCTCCGTGTGCGCAAGCTCCTTTTTCGTGCAACAACAATTGAAACGCCGGGCTCTGAAAAAGTCAGAATCAAGGCTGCCGCATCCCACAAAAAGACCAAGACCATGCAGCAAGCATTGAAACGCTGTTTCTCGCGGGCCCCGAAGCTTCAAAGCCTCGAAAACCATGCAACCCGAAGCCTTTCCTGGAGCATCAGAAGGGATCCGCCCCGGAGGTGGTGAACTTCCTAACAGGGCTCCTTCTGATGCTCACGAGCTACATCTTGAATTTGCTCCTTGGCTTTGTAGACGTGTTCTCGAGCGCCGGACTTCCGAATGGCGTCTATGTGTTGCGCAGTTGTTGCTGTAGCGTAGAGACTGCTTCTTGGCTCTTGCGAGCTGGGTCATGGAGCTGCTGCGATGTCTAATACTTGCACCTCAGATTCCTGGAGCTCGACAGCGCAAGCCCAAAGTCGTCAATGCTGAAAAATGCCTCCTACAGAGTCGCGAGCTTCCCAGGATCGAGTCCACCAAGGTGCTTGGGACGAGATGCGCGTGGGGTCTAAGTGAACGGCTGTGGGGTTTAATCTTCCTTCTGTACGGTTTGCATAAATGTCTGGCGGTGCTTTGTCGCTTTCGCCACGGCTTTCTGCCTCAACTGTGCCCATTTGTGGCGTGCTGCCCATCCGAAGGTTTTGTCATGCCTGTGGTGTTCGTGGATTCATAGTTCATCAGAGGCAACATTTTTCTGTGCACGCCCTATGTATCTGCAAACAGGGCTGCTGTGGCGTGTGTACTGCAGTAGCTTCTCTGTACTTGTAAGGGAGACAAGCCCAATTGCGGCACTGTTCTAGAAATACGGCCCCTTGAACCCTTCAAACCCTTAGACTCATCTTGCTGCCTGGGCAGACTTCTTATTTCCCAGGAGCCTCCAGCCGGGAGATGGGACTAATCACGTTTTTTTGCACCTGTCAGAAGCCACACCTGTCAGTTCGCAGCAACACGAAGGCCAGGGAGCGAAGAAGAAGCCGTAAGCCCACAGCTTCAGCGCACTTCTTGTGCCAAACTGCCATCTCCCAGGCGTCAAAGAGTCAAAGGCGAAAACCCATGCCTGTGTTCCGTACTCATTTGCCATTGCTGCACTGGGGACCACTACACTGAAACCCGGCTCCTCAACTCCCCAGTCAGACCCCAAGACGAAACCCCTTGAACCCCTACAACTTAAATCCCAACTCCACCTTAAACCAAAAGCCTATATCCGCCTTTCCGACAGGACGTCAACGAGTCCCTGATGTGGCCTCTCGTTTCCAAGTTGGTGGTGACCTTTCAGATTGTTGACCCGAAGCCTCAGACCCAAGCAGCCCTTAACCCGTACCCCTGACCTTTTGCATTTGGTTCGTGGCGCACCCCCAACACCCATTTTCCGCTGCATAATTACGAGCGCAATTATCAAGTCAAGCTTAAATCAAGCCCAGACTCTCGCTGCATCCAGCCTACACCAACACTACTACACCCCTTACGAATCCTCTACGCTTCCCTGAGCCCTGAGTCAGCAAGTCAGCCCCCGCGTAACTCTGACTCTTCAACCCCCAACTCCGGAGTCTAGAGAACCAGAATCCTACACCTTCCCCAACCCTCCTGGACATGAAATGTGAGTCGAGTCGTGAAAGTTGGGGGGCTTCTTGTTTGAGGAATTTTCAACTCCGCTCTGCACAGCCTAAGCCTAAAACCCTCAAGCAGCACCGAAGATTCGGTTGCAGGGTCTCCGTCCGTGGCTTGAAACTTATGCGGTTTAGGGTTCTTGTTGTTGTGTCTTGGAATATGACGCTTCAGAGCGTTTCGAGTACATAGGGGCTTGCTGTTCGGGGCTTGAGGTTTAGGATCTAGGCCACACACTGGACCCCGAACCCGACAGCAGAATGCATGATATCCCTCGCTCGAGAGAAGTCGCTTCTTGTCCACGCTCACAATGTATCAGGTATACCCCAGTTGTATGGTACCCAATGACACTAGTCTAGTGATATGATGCAGCCGTTGCAAATACAGCTCCACAAAGCCTAGCTCTGAAATAGCAAACCCTTTTCCCACGAAACGCAGACCCTAAACCCCAAACCATGGACCCTGAACCCTGAAACTCTAAGCCCCAACCTCCGAACTGTAATATAGGGGCCTACATAGTTTCCTTTCCTAATTTGGGGCTTTACGTAAAGCAGAATGGGCCCCAAAACCCTATTCGAATTATCAAGGCCCCAATGTGATAGTACCCTTACAGTAGCCCTTATAGACCCCTTTAAAGGAAGCCTATTCTATTCCTTAAGGCCCCGAGATTCTAGATGACACCCAGAATCCTCGCAAGGATCTATCGCCTTTTCCCGGGTTTCTGTCTTGGGCACGGACTCTTTGAGCGGCTCGGCAAGCAGCGAACTTGTCCAAGACGCGGTTTCGAGTTCAAGTGCGCGGCTTTGGTTTTGGGCTGAGGGTTTAGATCTTAGGGCCCTTTATACCAAAGATGCTCTGGCACTCACTGAACCCCGCTCCGAAACTCCAAGAAGCGTATAAAGCGAACTGATAAATCCAAAAGCCAGAAGCTTTGCGTTGGCTTATGGATGCATGGGGGCTTTGTGGGCGATCCAGGATTTCGGGGAAGGTTTGTTGTGGTGCCCGGCTCAGGGACTGACGGCTTGTAGGGTCCGCATGTGCTGCAAGGGGGAAGCCCAGGCTCATGGTGTTTTCCTGAGGCCCAGGCATCATGAGATCATCCTGAGTCATGAGGCCTGGGCCCTTGCCCAAAACCAAGAATCCGGCTCTCAACCTCCAAGCAGCCTCTCACTGCCAAGGATTTGCACCAACTCGGTCATCTCCCAGCAGTTGGGGGTGCAGGCAGATCGCGACGGGGGTAGGTCTGCGGGTCGCGTTGTTGGCTGAACTTGGGCCTTTGAGGATTCGGACTTCGAGTTGCGCCGCGTTTGAGGAGGATAGGGTGAATTCGTGACCGAGCCAAGTTTTGAGGCCACTGCATCCAACGCGGGGTTCCATGGCCACTGCAACACTCATAATAGATACTCCTCATCCTGTCGAGAACCCTACCAAACATTCGTGGCTTGGCCTTGTGGACTCGGGCGTGGATTTCGGGAATGAGGGATTGAGAAACCCTGGTTTTCTTCAAGCAGTGCCACCCCAATATCTTGAGGTGGAGGGTTTAGAGTTTAGGGTTCCCACGTGGGGTCTGGGGGAACCTCGACCCTGAACCGTGTAGTGTGCATGCAGCGCGAGGATATCCATCTCTTGGGCTGGGGCGTGGCTGGCAAGGATGCGCTGTTCCTGTGCCCAGGGCTAAAATTCTGCCTTCCGATTTTGAAGGTGCGTACATGAGTACAAGGAGTATTCCTCATGTCATAGTCAGAAACCCTATGGAATCGAGGGTATATTCTCTGGTTCTGTGTAGTAGATCGAATCCCAGCATCACGCGGCTCTTGATTCGTCGGAGGAGAGCATGAGCAGGCCTGTGCTTCAACTTAAAGGTGGCATCGCCACGACGGCCTAGCATCAAAACCTCAGTGCCGTTGATGGGCCCGAGGGAACCCCCACACTCCTCTAGCTTCTTCTTCACTTCACAGCGTAGGGGTTCTAGTCCCGTGCTAAAAGACGACGGACCAAAAACTGGGAGACCCAGCAGTCCTGGAAAAACGGAGACTTACTGCTCCAGCATGCAACTCACGAAACCAAGGTGAAACACGACGAGCCGGCAAGAAGGAGGACCAAACCGCGAACCTGCCGACACGGCAACAGCTTACAGAAGCTGGTGAGGGAAGGCCAAACGGCGAGGAGAAGCGCCAGACAGGCGCCCAACCGCAAGAAGGGCCAAGGCATGGGCAGCGACCTCAGGCAGGCAGAACACAGTGCCAAAACCAAGCACAGGAACCGCCGAGGTCCCAACCGCACCAGGCGACGCACGGCGCAGAAGTTGCCAAAAGGTAGCGGGGAGCGGACGAGCACTCCAAAGAACGGCACCAAACCGCACCTGGCGGAGAAGGTGCAAGAAAGTAAGCATCCGCCGCATGAAGAGGATGCGACCCGAAGCAAAATGCCCAAACCCAGCGGCACCACACCCGTCAGGGCAAGGTGACGGTCGCTCCTCTTTGCGTAAAAAGGCCGAGAGGCGCCAGACTTCAGGCGACCAGGGGTGCTGCGTGTCAAGCGCCAAGAACATCCGCCAACATGCAGCCCAGCTGTCTGGCAAGCACCAAATCGCGGGTGGCACACCATCCCACCGGCAAGACAAAACCGAAGTCTCACAGTCGGAAGGAAACTCAACGAAGCGGTACACCACATGAGGTAGAGTAGACAAGGACATGATCCGGGTATCAAGGCCAAGCGGGCTTCCGAGAGTCCCACCGGGTGCAGGTGCTGGACGAGGGAACAGCGACGGCTTGGCAGCCGACGCGGCAGACGCTGCAGGCGGCGCAAGCTGCGAAAGCGGAGGACCGGCGGCAACAGACACGGGCGGAGAGAACGCAGGAACACTGTCAGAGTTGCGCCGGAAGGGTACCACGGGTGAAGAGCGGGCACCGTCAGCAAATCCCGGCCCGGGTGCAAGCAAACTCAGCTCTGCCGAGAGCTCGGCCTCCGTGCAGCATCTTTCCTCAGCTGCAGCAAGGCGTTGAGCTGCGGTTGCGTTCAAAGGCCCACAAACCCGAAAAACTGGAGCACGCGCGTGGCCTTGCTTGCCACGTCGTTTTGTGCCAGAGCCATACTCGTAGACAGGCCCTACACAGCAGCGGAGGCCATGTTCGCACTCAGGGGTGTTGAGCAGATGATAGCGAAGCCGAGCTGCATTGTGGAATTCCGTCAGACACCACAGGCAGACAGTGCCGAGGGTATATTGAGTGCACAAGGCAACTCGGCCATGCAACCTGTGCATGTGCGCTGCGAGGGCGTGAGCCGACGCAAGTGTCGCCCCACATTCTGAACAAATCCGCGGGGAGGCAAGGCCGATGACCCGCTTCGGCGTGGGGCTCTCGTGACTCTTCCAGGCACGTTGAAGGGCTAGAAGCATAGTGCCTGAACGGCTAATTTTCCGACATGCTGTAAGGAGCTTCTTGAGGTGGCGCCGAATACCGAGTAGAGTGGGCTCCCCTGCCTGGAGCGCAGGGAGACCGGAGGCAGGCCAGACACGACGCACCGCCTCAGCAAGCAAGGAGGCCCAATCACCGCCACGATCCCAGCTTGCTTCGAAAAGTGCGAATGCCTCTGTTGACCGTCCGGAGACAATCCGGCATAACAGACGGACCCTGGCAATGATAACGGCGCATTCAACATCCAAGATACCCGTACATGCTCGCAGTTGGGCAGAGGCAACATGGTGACCAGCATCCCAAGCCCCAACGAGCTGTCGGAGGCACTTGTCAAGAAACCCATGAAGAGGGCCCCAGGCCCGCTCAGAACGAGCAAGGGTCGTGGCAAGCGAGGAATAGGCGGCGGGAAGGGTCCGCCCTTGCAGCCAAACAAGCTTTAAGGGCCACGGAAGGTGGGGGGAGTGGACCAGCCCGGCTGCTTGGGTCCAGATAGCATTGCCGCGGGCGGCTGCAGCCTCGATATCTCGACGCCCGGTGTCACGACACCGCTGTGCAACGCCGAGGTACTTGTATTCAGGTACGACCCTGATAGATCTGCCATCAGGAAGGTCAAGGCAAGGTTCAGGCGACAGAAGCTCTTGCCTGGCGGCATTGGCCCCAGCTCCCTGGAGGTGGACAAGGGCCTCCGTCTTGCCATGGCCAAGATTAACCCGGAAACGAAAAGCTTCGAACACCTGTAACACAATGGCACACAAGCGACGGAGCTTCGTGACAGCCCATGCGGCTCGGATGAAGTCAACCAGGAGACACAGATCATCAGCCCACGCGATCTGCAGCGAGGCGTCGGGCTGACCCAAGGCATCGGCAGAGGCAGTGTGGACAATGTCCTCAGCACGAAGGGCATGATGGAGGCACTGCAAGATCACGGCAAACAGGGCTCCGAAAAGAACATCAGCCAGGCCGTCGCCGGGCCGGGAGCCGCGGCTAGCAATGATAGCTTGCGGTTGCCCAACCATCCGCCAAAAGGAACATTCAACACAGTCACGCAAGAGGGCGACCTGATCTTCGGGGACGCCTAACCCTGTCAGCACACCATCTTGGATAAGCCTGTGTACATGTCTGGGGAGCTGGAGCCCCTGCAAAGCAGAATCAAGATCGCGACCTTGGAATAGCAGGAGTCGGTCCGCTTCATAATAGGCGGCTTGAATGTCGACAAACAATGCGGCCCATGAGTGCCCGCGGACGGAAGCTAAGTCAACAGCGGACCTGAAGACACTGAGAGCGAGGCCAGTATCGATTCCCTTCCTGCCACCAAGTTGGGTAGGGAAATAATGGGCAATGACTTCTTGGCCCAGTGTGGATCGCAGCTGCGAGTGCCATAGCTTTGCGACGCCATTGAGCATGGCAATCGACCGAAAATTGGCCGGGATGTGGGCCGGGCCTTTCTTATGCAGAGCCCCGACAATAGAAGCTTTGAAGTGCAGGGGCTCGGCTTCTCCCCATGCCATGCGCAACCACATGGGCCACAGCCAGCGACCGGCCCGGTCCGGGCAGGCTTTCCAAATTTCGTTTCTAATGTGATCAGGCCCGGGGGCCTTGCCCCGTCGCTGTGCCCTGCACATATGTTCGACGTCAAGAAGAGTGGGCACCGCCGCCGCGCATGCAGGTCGTGGCACGGTGGCCCAGTGTGAAAAGGCTAGGTGTAACTGATCATCAGAAACAGGACGTCCCCCTTCCTGTTGTTGAAACTGCAACTGGAGCTGTTCGTCAATATCAAAGCCACTGGCGGCTCGGACATCACGCTTCTGTTTAGCACCCTTAGAGGCCCACGAAAGCTTGGCAACAGCTTCAGAAGGCCGCCCGGTTGCGTGCCAATGGTCAATGGCATCGACCAAAAGCGACTCGAAGTAAGCCTGCTTGTCCTGGCGGGCCTGCGCATGGGCCTGGGCCCGCAGTTTAAAGCAGACGTGGGCGTAATGAGCCCTTAGCATCTGAGTCTGGTGGCGTTCCCATCTGGGAACCCCAGGCGTCTGCGGTCGCCACGAATGAAAGGCAAGGCGGCAGAGCTGCAATCGCTGGAGGGCCGAGATTCGTCGGAGCTCAGCCCGTGCGTCCCGGAGCGTAGTGAGCAGTACTTCGGCTGCTACAGAGAGGTATGGCTGCCTCCGGAGAAAGGGTGGCCTAGCGGGCAGCTGCTTGACGGCAGCATCATGGGCGTCGCAAAGCCGTTGTACTTGTTCGTCACAAGTGCCTGAAAAGGTGTCCCCCAGCAGGGACCACATCGTAGAGGCCACCTGATCGCCACTCGCGGGTGCATATGGGCAACGTGATTGCACCCGCTTCCCGCGACGCCCACAGACTTCAATCAGGGCAGTGATAGGCGTATGGTCCCTGGATTCCCCATTCAGAATATCGAACTCAGGGAACTGTCGGTGGGCCCGAATCGTGGTCCCGCTTGAAACGAGCAGGTGGTCTAGCCGTTGGGTCTTGCCGCCTGTGTGTTGCCATGTCCAAGTAGGACCAGAGTGAATCCCTGCCCAAGTCCCGGGCGCAGCCAAGGAGGCATCGTGCAGGCACGCCAAGAGAAGGTCATCATTCAGACGTGGGGGCCGCAGGGAGAGGAGATCACCGACAAGGATCTCATCTTCGTCGCGCCCTACAATGTCAGCATTGGCATCAACACCGATTATCACGGTCCCCCGATTACAGGCCGAAAGCAAGTGGACTCGAAAATCACCCCAAAACCGCCGCGCTTCCGCCTCCGGTCTCTCCGAGTGTGGGGCATGGGCCGCAACAAGGGTAATCGGTAGTTCAGCACGTTGACACTGTACGAACAGCATGCGTGGATCGGCATGGCGAATCCGAAAGTCATCCAACGAAAGGGCGGGCTGTAGCAGACCCGGGCGGATCCAAATTTCAACCCCATACAGTCCCTTTTCGGCACCAGAGCGGAAGCTTAGGAAGCCGTGAGAGGACCATCGGCCAGGCCGACTACGACACTCTTGGAGAAACGCAATCTGAACATCCAAGGCCTGCAACTGCTTTGCAAGGTAGACCCGACGTTGACCATGGCCGTCGCGGTTGAAGAAGGACACATCTACATCTTTAATAGTCTGGATGTTAGCCTGCACAACCCTGAAATTGATGCGAAGCGGAGTGGGGCAGTCAGGCTCGCCTGTCGGAGGGGCAGACGGCAGAGGCTGACGACTCTCCGCGACAGGTGGTTGTGCAGGCGGTGGCTCCCACCCCGCCGGCCGCCAGTGTAGGCCATGTGTACCAAGCTGGGCGCGCGGGAGGAGCCACAGCAGTGGTGCGCAGGCGGCAAGTGTATCCCCAAAGGTTGGCAACAAACGACACCAACCTGCTGTGGCACACCTGGAATGCAGGCTGGCATATCCTGCTAACGCGTCGACAATTTCATTGACCAGGGCCCCAGCGTGCCCCGGGACATGGCGGAAGTGAGTGGTACACCGGGACTGGACGCCCTGCCAAAGAGCCCTGCAAACTTGAGAATGTACAAGGGTGGCCGCAGCATGGCCACAAGCGACCTGCAGGGCAGCACTGTTATCGACTGCTATAGTCACTTGCCTGGGTGCGTGACCCGTGTGGAGAAGGAGGTGGTCCCACCAAGCCGTAAGCCACGCCGCAGCCGAGACTAGGGCACTCAGTTCCCCAGCGTATGAGCGGAGATCCGTGCCCCCTTCCGGCAAACTGGGAAGCCAAGGGGTCATGCCCAGGGCGCCAGCATCCCAACCGACACGGTACCAAGACCCTTTCCAACAACACCAGGCTGCAAAGGCCCAACCACCGGAGTGGGTGCCGCTCCCATCAGTTGCGATAAGGACCTCATCCGGTGCTCCACCAGCCCAGGGTGGGAATCGCTGCCATCCACCGTGGTACAGGCCTGGTAAGAGAGCGGGGAGGTGAAGGGGCAGCGGCCGAGCAAGATAATGGGCAGCTAAGCCAGCATAATGATAACCAGCATCATTAAGGTCGATAGAACAGCTATCATGTCGCGCATCTCTGGCTGCTCCTGGGGGCCCAGAGATCGCAGGGGCTCCCCAGGCGCGCCCGTATACTTGGCTTAGAGATGATGCCCAACTCGAGAAAAGACATCCGTTGAGTTGGGAGATCCCGGAATCCGCATATCTGACGATTTCCGGTCTCCATGCATGGGGGTGTGGCATAGGGCCTAACCCAACAAAAAGGGGCAACCAGAGCAGGCCGAGAATGTAAAGGGCGGGCCGGCACCGCAGCCTTGCACCCTGGGTAAGAAGGCCTATCCAAAGACCTATCCCGGGAATCCCAGTGGTTCGCCGACCAAAATCATCCCCATCGCGGGGTGCATAAGGACTGAGACATACCTCAGTCGCGCAGACTCGAGGGGGGTACGTACAAGCCAATGTGTGGGCCATCGTGCCTTGTGTACTCTCTTCGACCAGATGCAGACCCAGAGGGTCAACCCGAACAGCAGGAACCCATCGTGAAAAGCTGAAAGGTGCAAGAGAGGGAAAGAAGGTCCCCCGGCTGGGGTCCCATCGCTCACCCCGTACGGTAGGTACGCAGAGCGGCAAGAAGGCCCCAGATTGCCAGGCAAATATGAGGCCTGGCTCAAGTACTTTGAAGGGGTGCCCCCAAAATGCGAAGGCGGCCGCAAACTGTACCGTAGGCCATTCCAGGGTTTGCGGTTGACGAAGGCGAGGATACCAGGACACACTGTCAAGGCAGAGCACATCCCCAGAACGCAGATAAAGAGTGGGAGATCTGGAGAGAGAGGTACCTCTCCATGCAGCTGGAGTGGCGGAGACGGAAGAGGCCAAGGGTGCGAACGCACGGAGACGATCTAAGACTTCCTGGGGCGAAGCTCGCCATGGCAGCATAACAGCACGCGAGCTAACTCCGCCGTGAAGGAGCACAATCACAGAGTCCGGGTCCGGAGGGACTGGAACCCAGTCAATGAAGGCAACATGTTGGGTCGGGCGTACTCGAGCGAAATGATCCCATGCAGGGATACTGTGGCGCAGCACGTCCGGGCATCGGTGCGATGGCCCAGGAAAGGGCCCCTGTACCATCCCAGCAGGATTCCAGACTCGATGCAAGTACTCAGTGTTGGTCCCGCCGGCCGGAGTGCGAACAGCACGAACTTCCGGGGTGAGAATAAAAAGGAGACTGGCGCCTCCCAAACACGGCCACCGCCAAAGCAGTGAAAGCGAAAGGGCGATCCCCAAGGGAAATTGTTCCCGAGGAGAGGACCCTGACACAACATCCCCGTTGCGCAGAAGGGTGCCATGGCGAAGCTCGGCCTTAGGGACCCCCAGGACTTGCGGTTGTGAGGGCAGCGTAGGCAGCGCAGTCCAAAGCTGCCACGCATCAACACAGGCTGGAAGCTCACTGCAGAAGCACCCAACAGAGGATTCAACTATAACACTTACATCATCTGCCGAGTGAGAGCATTGGACAAGATGGGGGAGGTCGTCGGCAGCCCATGGAACTGGTGCCCAGCGACCCGGGAACCGCTGGGCAAACACACCCTCAAAGGTGAGGTCTAAGGCATTCCATCGGGCCAGGGCCGGGATGCGAGAGCGGAGTGGCCGCACCGAAGGTCGCCATAAGACTACCTCAATCGTAGAAGAAACAGAGAAATCGACGGACCAAATAGCACAGTGCCGAAGCTGAGTCGCAGTGGCGAAGCAGGGCGGGGAGTAAGTGGGCTCAAAAACCGCGGGTGGGAGCGCAACAAGCAAATCTCCCGAACGCCAGTAGACGTCTGAAGCTACGTCCCGGACAGTAGCCGGTGCTCGGAGGGACAAAGCGTGCAGGGAGTGGCTGTACCGCAGAACCTGTGCAATCCATTCTAGTGGCGCGACCCGAGGGATGCACAGAGCAAAATGATCCTCCAGCGAGGATACCACCACACACACTAGTTCAAGGCAAGGCGGTTTAGGGACGACCATAAGGAAGGGGAGCGGAGTAGCCGGCCATACCGGGGCAACTCCTGTCCCCCAGCCAGGCTCGAGCTGACTGGCCCTATCAAGCAGGTGATCTGGTGACTCAGAAGTTGGGACCTGTCCCAGAACTTGAGGCCCAGTGAAGGGGCTAACATAGACAACTTCCAAGGTGGCCTGCTCAGTGAGATCCTGCATGTTCTCCTGGCCTGCGGGGGCCGCCAAGGGAAAAAGCCAGTGCGAATCGGGGCTGGTGCCATGTCAACAGGCTGGTACATGCCCCAAACACCAGACAGAGATAGCCAACCAAAGATGATCAGGGCCCAACTAACGCTGCGTTTGGGAAGAACGCAGGACGCAGCGGAGATGGCAGCCGGAAAGCCGAGGTCCCAAGAGGAGTCCGGATCAACCTGACGATCATCCTGACCCGGTGTATCTTCGGCAAGAATCGGGGGGCGACCATCAAAGGGATCCCAGGTGAAAGTCGCAGCAGGGTCGACCTCAAGGACATCAGCGTCGCGGAGAGATCCTCCGGCGCGGCTGCGTCGAATGGAAGGGACCAGTCTCCAGCCAAAGGGGGGTCGGCAGGCGCAAATGCCGGCCAGGAAAACCCCTATCGGTTCGTCAGTAGGTGGGATCAAACAAAGGACCAAGGCCTCAACCGGAAGAGTCCGACTGACAAAATGCAAACGTGTGAGGCCCCCTTGCAAGACCGGGACCCACGAACCCAGCATCTGCTGACCATTCGGACTTCGAAACGTGGGTCCGCGCGGGTCCCATATCCCACCGCCTCGTACAGTGACTGAGCGCCCTACCCGGCTAGAGGTGGTCCAGAATGTCGCCGTGTCCCCAGTATCAAAACGAAAGGGAAGGGACCAACTGGCAACCTGACGGGCGACCTCAAGGGAAGGAAAATGCAGTGTGGGTCGCGGGGAGTAACCCGGCTGACCAGGGCAGGGCTGCAGCCCAAAGAGGTCCCCGTTGCGTAGTCGAATGACCTGGTGTTCATGCACAGCGCGTAGCGCCGGAGGAAGCATAAGATGCCAGGACCTGACCTGGGGTGAGCGTATTGCAGCAGCCGCCTGAATGGCAGCAGGAGTGGTGTCGACCGGTAAGAGAAAAGCACCGGTCTCATCTAAGGTATGAATGATTACCGTGGCCAAACCGCAGGGAGCGACCGGAGCCAGGACGACTTCTGTGAGTGGCCGAACCCCTCGAACTGGGAAGAAACGAGTGCACCAGCTGCCACAAAACCGTTGCCCAATCCTATCAAAATAAGTCCAGGAACGGCCTAGATCAGCAGCTTCAGCGGCGCTCCATCCAAGGATTGGACATAATGTGCGGACGGTGGCCTGATCAGGACGCAGATAGCATTGGTCGAAGGCGGTAAGGCCATCCCCTTCGTGGAGGCGCCAGCCAGCATGGAGAATGAAAGGTTCGCCATCGGTCCAATCAATTCGTGGGGGAAAATGGGCAACCGATGGTGGCGATCGACTCCGGCTGCGCGCATCCCACCGCCCGCGGGACCTGATGGTACGGGCCTCAGACGAGTCAGGGCTGCGGCAACCCTCGGAAGACGAGGCAGCCAAACCAGCTGGAAGATACAGAGAGATGGCCAACAAGAGGAAGAATCGGAACCCCTTAGATGCGCCAGAGACCAAACCCCCTCCGCTAGCAACAGCCTTGATCCACCAATCTCCTTCCCGGACTCGAGTGATCTTTTCCGGTCGAGCTGTGGGCGGGCGGACCTGAAAACCATCAATCCACATGTCATAGGCAGCATCACGGTTAACAGCGACGCATTCAGTGCAGCTGTGAGTGCGGATGACATGGACTTGTGAGGGCTCGGTGGCCTGAAAAAGGAGCCATGGTATGACTCCTTGATGCCCGACACAGGGCGTCCACCGTCCCTCTGCAAAAGGAGTGTCGTCCCCTAAAATGGTCGCCTGAGCAGCACTCCAGCGTTGATTAGGGCCAAAGCAAAGTAATCGGGTGGGACAATTGGGTCGCCACAAGAGCAGGGAGGAGGGGTGGTCAACCACAAAGTCGGTCCTCCACGCACCTTCAGCATGGGCACGCTGCCATGTAGGAAAGTGAGGCAGAGGAGGTGTCGCAGCGAACGAAAGCGTACTGACAAGTCGAACGCCCAAAGTATCCCCGGTACGAAGGGCAAGGAAAGCGCCCAGTTGTCTCGACTCGGCAACGAGACCTGGACCTAACTGAAGGGCAACAAGCTGCCCCATACGGAGGCCAACTGCCCTCTCAGCTGCGCGGAGAGTCAGAAACGCAGGCAAGAACACACAGATGCGTTGCCCAAGACCGACAACCAGGACGCAAACTAACCCCCGCCCAGGGTGCGGAACAGCCACAGGCAGCCCCATCGAGGCAGAGTCAGCCATGGCAAATCCCCGATGCCAGGAGGCCAGGGCGCCCGGACAGACCTCCAGGAGGCTGGGGAAGATCTCGGACTCATCGACCCGGACAACCGTCCATGCCGCAAAGGGGTCGGCGACGTGGACTTGCATGAGTCGGGGAGGAGCAGATGCTCGAGGGAATCCTGGCCCCGCCGACTCAGGTCCAGCGGCGACAGGGACGGCCTGAAGCTGCATAGCTTGACATCCGAAAAGAGCACCTTCCTGGTTTGCATACTGGCCGAGCACAAGCATTGCCAAGAGGCTCCAGCCGACCCGGTCCGGTCCATGGGTGACGGCAGTCCACAGGACAGCGGCCAGGACGGTACGAGCCAGTGGCCCCACCGAGCCGGAGCTGTCGAGCTGTTCAACATTGCCAAAAACAACATCTCCGTTCCGGAGCTCGCAGGACTGTTCAAGTGCATATGCCGGTATCCCACCCACGCAGACCGAGGCGGGGTCAAGATTTAGCGATGATGCCAGAGTGGATTTGGAGACAAACCTGTCAGACACTCGGCAGAGACGCTCACCCGGTGTGGCCACAATGACATGGACCTGGGCCGCAACATTGCAGACCTGAACCAACTGGACCTGGCGAACAGAAGTCCACTGGACAGGAGTCCACATGCCCGGAAAGCGCAGCTGGAAGTCGCCCGAAAAGCAGTAGGATTCAGGGCACCAAGCTTCTTCAGCAGCAACCCGCGCAAGGACCGGCGGCCGGTCAGGGCGAAGTAACTGTGAACATCAAACATAAGACGAAACCCCAAAGCCCATGGGGCGTGCTGGGCTGCTAGTCCATCTTGTAGATGCCATGGTTCGACAGCCTGCATTGCCTCATCATCGGCATCCTGGGCCTCCAGTGCATACACAACATCACCGTTGCGGAACCTGAGTGCGGCGGGTGGCACATCGAAGAATTCTGCGACCGCCAGACCATGTGGGACAGCAATTTCTCCCACATTTCGCCCGACAAGGCGGGCGATCAAGGACATGAGCCACTTAACTGTCATGACCCGCGGGGCGACGATTGCACGAGGGAGGCCTCGCCACTGCAGCATCAAAGTAACAATGGCAGGGTCGGCGCCGATTGGGACAATCGACAGTTCATTGAATGCCGGTCCCGGCCACACCGGGAAGAAGTCTGCCGGCCATGCAGGCTCATCGTTCAAGAACTGTGCCCAGATGGCATGGTGGCGCGTGTCTCTGGATGCGGTATAAGCAGGGTAAGCGCCAAGGAAGGGGCTATGCAAGACAACATAAACTGGGTCGTGGGCCGTGATATCACTGAGCTCTCTATTACGGGGGTGCTCACCCCATGGAAAGCCACCAGGGCGATGCATAGCAGAGACTGCTAGGGTGCCAAAGCAGACAATAATCAAACCCGGCCCTGCATGACGCCATCCACTCCCAAAAAGGAAGAGCCCAAGGTACCATAGGGGTGAAGCGGCCCAACCGAGGGCGCCAAGGATAGATGAGGATCGATCCTCGGCACCGGGCGCGCCCACGGCGGCTGAGGCGGGCGTGGCATAGGCAACCTCCGGTCGGGTAGCGGAGGGGCGTGGGGGTCTGATGCGAGCACCGAAACAGTCTCCATCCCGTAGCTGCACGGTATCGGCTTCATCATGAATCAGCCCAGAAAAGTGGAGATCGCAGACATCGTCCCCGACATGGAGCGAATGTAAGGCGGATGCCCGAACGCAGCGTGGTAGACAACAAGGGACCAACCTATCCCGCAAGACAATCCCGACCGCAGCATTGTCAGGATGAAGCGGTTGGCCGATAAGGTGGACCGCCAGGGCATCCGGTTGTGGATGTAAGAGAGCAAGGCCTCTCCACCCCCGGTGATTGGCATGGTCTTGAAACACAGTAAAGGGCGAAATCTCAACCCCGGCATGATATTCCAGCCAGCTGCATTGTGCACGCGCCGTGAAGGGATTGTGTATGCAGATGGGCGTACCCGGAGGGATGGCATCAACAACCGCTCGAACCCCATGCTGAAACTGGGACAGTTGGATTTGCACAGTGGTCACGGCAGAAGTAGACACAGCAGCCCGAGCAGGGCCAACCGGTGGCCACTGACCCAAGGAGTAATCTTCTACAGGGGTTGCTGCCTGCAAATAGAGAACGCGGGATGCGACCGGTGGCGCATTGGCCGGAGTGGGCGGCGGGGGCCCAGCAGGACGCACATGAGGGGCTCGACCAGCTCCATGGGTCGCCGCATTGAAAGTGGGCACTGTGGCTAGCGAACTGCCCTCATCATCCGAACTGGATCCAGGAGGTGAGATAATAGACGCAGACACCCACCCTGGGAGCAGGAGAACGCAGCCAACGAGGTGAAGAGGCCTCAGGAAATTCCCTACCTGACGGCCGAGACACAGGATCAACCAAGCGGCGGCGGGGGAGGCAACTCTGTCCCCGCGAGAGGGGTCAAGGTCAAGAAGGTCAACCGGGCGGGGTGGCAGGGGCGTGGAGCACGCGGCCGGAGTCGCCCACGGGTTCAGCGTCTGGCTCGGCCAATCCTTGCCACAGACGCGCTGCATGGTACGCCAGATCTCGGGCTAGGTCATTGACCCGCAGGACAGCAGCATGGTCAATCCCCACACCTTCGCCTGTAAGATTGGTCTGCGTCGCACAATCATGGCAGGGCGGCCGAGCTCCGTGCCCGTCAAGTCTATGGCCATCAACCCCAACGACTATTGGAGGTTCATGAAGGGGCCCTCGACTAGGGGTAGTCCTAAAGAAGGGACCCTCGACAATAAAGGGGTCAGGCTCCCAAACGTTATCACCCGGAATCATCGGGAGTGCTCCTAGAACAACCTGAATTATGGCACCGGAGGGGAATTCCGGAAGACCCACCCCGGGTGGGAACAGGTTACCGCCAAACCCTAAGGCTGGACGGCGCTCTGGTACTAGCTCATAGTGAAACAGAGCGCGCAAATGGGCCGCCAAGATATCCCAATCAAAGGGGTGGTGGCCAAAGGTGACAGTCGCTGAGTCTCCAAAGTGTAGCAGCCAGAAGCGAGAAGGGGGGACCGTCCGAGGCACCACCGGCACGAACATGAGGTGTTGGACTGGATCCGTTGCCGGATGATGCGTGGAGCGAAAAACGAGCTCACACAGCCAGCGCGTCGGGTAGCCTTGAGGCAGCCAGGGGATATCTATAGGTTCCCTTACGTTAAGCGTCCAGATCCTAATGATATCCGGTGATGGATCTGGCGGCTGCACAGCGGGAATGATAGCATGCTCAGACGGGCCAGGTGCACCGCCCGGTTGCATTGCGGCAACAACACTACTGAGGGAAACCAGCCAGAGGGCCACGCCCACGAGGGTCCGTGGGGAGCGTGCAGCAGCAATGCGCACAGCTCCCTGAACGCAATGACCAAGAAGACGTGGGAGGCCTTGAGTAATCACGGCCCGGGCTCCTTGCGGGGGAACGAGGCCGTCACGGACGGCAGAAGATGGCTCAAGCTGAAGTACAGAACCATCCGGGTCAAGCGTGCAGAAGTGGAAATGGCAATGGGTAGTGAAATGCTGCGTCACCGGACGAAGCAGCTCGCGCCCCCCTACATCCCGAATAATCCACCAAATCCCGGAACCAGGAGGCACCACAACGAGCTCCAGCACATGAGGACAGGAGTCAAAAGCAACATGCAACCTGTAGGTAGGGGAGGGGAGGAAGGCTGCCAGGTATGCACGCAGATGCTGTTCAATGTACGCGGCACTCACACGGATATGAATGGGCCCTCTCCCGGGGAGCCACAAATGCAGCTGAACATCCGAGGGGCCGTTCCTTTCAATAAAAGCACCCAGGCTGGTCGGGGAGACTCCAAATCCGTGTGTTTGACGCCCTAACTCATGGGTCCATGACAGGGTGCATGTGCGTGCAAAATCTCGCCTGTCCTGGACAAATGTAACGAAGGTGTCGTGTGGCCGGAGCCTACCTGGGGGTGCATTGACCTGGACACCGCCTGCACCTACAGCCAGAGAAACCAGAAGGGCAAGCATTCTTACTTGACCAGACGCCAAGATTGCGGCAGCAGCAAGAGATGAGGGGGCCGGGGGTGGGGCTGGCTGCTGCCATTCACACTGCCTGGCTAGCTGCGCGACTCCGTCGTGAGAGTCATGACCAATGTTAACACACCGATCTGCAACGTCATGCAAATCACCAGGATAGGGCCACACCTTACCCTCATCATACAAGAAGGTTTGCGGAAGTTCCCAGAGGGAAAGTGCTAAGACATTAGCTACATTATCCCAGGAAGGAGCGGCGGAACAAACCCCAAACACAAGGGCCCCGTCCCGGATAGCCCAGAGTGCGAAGCCTGGAATGCATGGCACCACACACTTTAGTCGCCAATGTTCGCACCACAAGCTTGACCAGATGCTCGGGTTAGGTGGGGAGAGACCCACCGCGCAATCGACGGGCAGAGCAGGCATACTAAGGTGGTGAGTATCTGGCACCAGAAAGGGACCTCCAGTTTGAACGCCGGCGTCAGAGGTCCGAACACCGCTGGGCAGTTGCAGAGGGATGGGTACATGAATTATCGGTCGGACCGCCCGGCTGAAGCGCAGCCCCGCAGAGAAGGCTCGATTCATGTCTACCACAACATGGACACACCACAGGCGGCACGCAGGGTCCCCAGGAAGTGCAGTAGTCTCCCAAGTAAGCACCGTCATCCCGTGGGACTGGAGAGCCCGGAGAAGACGTGCAGGGAGTTCAGTCCGAGAGGCAAGCTGCAGCAAAAATTCGTCATAAGACACGAAGCGGCCTTCAAAGCACAAGATCAACCCCAGGGAGGCAGGGTCCGCACGGTCATTGACTCTGTAAACCACAACGCACTGCCGGCGGCCGATTGCCACAAACGAAGCATGGGGCAGCACATCTGGAAAGGGCAAATCAAAGAATGAAAATTTGCCAGTGCAGGTTTTGGACATAAGAAGACGCAGTACCTCAGCCGTCACGGTGGTACTTGCTGGCACACTAAAAGTGCGCACCCCTTCCGCGGCCTGAACCACAGAAACGTGGCGTACCGGCGCCAGCCATGCAGCCGTAGAGCACTTAGGAAGTGGCAACAAAAGAGCTGCGTAGGTCGAGCGGGCTTCACAGTAACAACATCTCCATGCCGTAAGCGTAAGCCGCGCCCCCAAAGAATCTGGAAGGCATCATGCTGGAGGAACTGCTCTACCGCAGCAATGACATCCCGGGAAGTGTAGGCAGCTGGGAGGTCGACACAGCAAATGTCGACACACGCATCAAGGAGAACGGTGATGTGTTCACGGCCCGAGGCAGCAGCGACTAAATGGACCTTGTCAAAAGTAGGGCCGGTGGAGGCTGCAACCAGGTGTGGCCTCCCCAGTCGGACAGCTTGCCTGTGAAGCTCGGCGGCGACTTCCCCTGCATCCATATCCCCGAGAAATTGAAGTACAAACGAGGACTCTGGCGCCCAAATTTTGCAAGTGACAAGGAAACGGCGCGATGAATCACCAAGGCTGGGCCAAAGCAAGGCTTCACCAAAGTCGCCCGTGCGTTGCCACATCCCTTGTAGATCAACATGGGCCAACGGAGGGGCAGCAAGATCGCGATCCCGGGCCAGTGACGCCCCATGCAGGACTTGGCGCGGAGACCCAGGGGCGCTGTGAACTTGGACCGCAGCGGACGGCCTGAAAGCAACGAGCAGTAAAAGTGCCAAAGGCAGTCCTTTCAGATCAACCACAGCAAATGAATGAAGAGTGCACAGCAGGGTACCCAAGAGCAGAGTAGGAGTCGGCATTGATGTGCAACTCGCGCTCGTACCTGCACCCCCTTCAGGAGCAAAGGAAGGGTCCTCACCTGGGGGGTTAAGGCTCGCACCTTCATTACCCAAGAACACTTCGGGGGTCACCCCGGAGGTGGCAGTAGGTAAAAACAGGGTGTGGCTGGAAACGGGACCATCGACATCCTCACTAGATGGAGGTGGCCGCCCTCCGACTTGCTGTTCAGAGGACGAGGAAGAGTCCTGTCTGAAGATATGAGGGAAGAACATGACCACAACTGGCAAGTTCCCGTGAAGCAACTGGTCGGGCAAAACGATGCTTTCACGATGGAGGAGCCCAAAGCGGCCGTCAGCGCACTGGTCCAACCAGTCAGCAGGAATGCCTCCATTATTACACCTGATCGCCTCATCGAGCATACGCAATGCAGTGATCGGGGAACGCACACACGCAGTGACAATGCGCCACCCCAAAGGCCTGAAATCCAAAATACACGGAACTTCGTCAGAGTGACAATGGATTTCGAGGAACTGCACCAAAGGCAACGATGGCAAAGGTTGCCAGATGCGCATTACCCCGCCTCGAGCAGTAGGCGAGGCGCGGAACGAGACTATTCGACGGAAAGTCGCCGCGTCAGCAAAGACGGGCACCTCAACATATACAAGGCCATTCGGTGTTATGAGGATCGCCTGGTTGTTTGAGTATCCCTGGAAAATATCGGCACCGGCTTGGCCCGATGGGAGACTGACCTGCATAGCTGAGAGGAGAGACAGGGGCGGATCCAGAGAAGCACCGAGAGGGGCTTGCAGTGACTCTGGGCCGGGACCAGACGCAAATTGAAGAGCATCAACCCCTTGCAGGAAGAGTGGTTGCGAACTCAAAGTAAGCCAACCCCAATGGCAGCGGCCAAGAAGACCATCAACCCGGAGCTGTAGTTCCTGCGCCGTGATAGCAAGCTGAGCAATAGCTTGACAGGAGGAGTCACGCACACACATCAACATACAAATGCGACCCCCGACCGCCCTCAAGTCAACCGGGAGCCATGCATATCGCCACGGTAGAGACCTTGGCGTCATGAGGAGCTGCTCCCCCGGTAAGCCTGGAAGGGGGCTCTGGAGAGTGGTGACGGAAAAGACGTCGGCACGAAAACCCAAGGCCGCGGCAATCTGTCCCCATAGGAGCGGCCCATGCATCCATTCGTCTGCCATGAAAAGTAGCGGACAAGGCTCAAGCACCGGCGAGCCAGGTGGCTGACCAACGAAGACGGCCAAGGATCGACGAAGACGATCCGAACGCGACAGCATGGAATTTCCTGCACGACCGACCGGGTAAACATGACACATCGCCTCGGCTGAGGGAGTGGGCAAAACTGGCCCAGTGCTGATGACTGGCCGATTTTCATGGAACCCATGAACATGCAGTTGCACCGCAGCAACAGGGCGACACAGGGCAAGTCCAAGCGAGCCCAACTGAGTCGCAGTCCTGAGGGAAGCACCATCGACGAGCGACAGATACAGAAGGAAGAAGGTCAGGACTGTAGACCTCGGCTTGCTGTGGCGGCCAGCAGCGGAGCCGGGCACAACACGCTTGCCGTGAACAATATTGCAACGCACCAACCGTCGAGGAGAACGGGAAGGTAAGGAGCAGCAGTGAAGGGCCAAAAGGGTCTTCAAGCTATACAACAGCTCGAAGTACGTCAGAGCCCTTGTTCGGACAACACGCAGGGCACACGCCTCACATGCCAGAGCCAAAACGGTAAACCGGATGGCTGAGACCGGGGCAAGCACGACACAGGCCCACAGCGCGGACGCAACCACAGTACAGCCAAGTTGCCACCTGCGCTCAAAGGAAAGCCGAGGCCCATAGGCGGTCTGGAAGCGGTCAGAGACTGTACAAGCTCGCCGGAAAGCTATGTACACTATGCACAACTGGCCTACCAGGATCATAAGACGACCGACGGTCAGTCCGCACCACTGGTGCCAGTCAGAGCGCAGCTGAGCAAGTCGCGGGCTTGAGAGCCTTACATGAGCTCCTGTGTGGTCTCCAACCTCATGCTTTCCAGGAAAGGGCATGGCTGCCGCAGAATAGTCTGAACATGATGGTGGGCTGACGCTTCCAACGCAATGAATCCCTTGCAAGGAAGGCCCGCCTCGGTCAAGAGACCTGGGAACAGCCATTCTTGTGCCGTTGCTGGTGCGTAGGCAAAGGGATCGAGCAAGCCACCCACCGAGATGTGGGCGGCAACCAAAAGTCCTTGAGGTGCAGCAGGAAGGGCGCCGGCACATCCACGTAGCTGATGCAACGCTTCTGCCAGCAGTCTGTGCAGCGACGGAAGGTCCGCATCGGCCTCGCCCGAGACCCCATCCTTCAAGGCCTGCCAAGTCTGCTCCACACGCTGCCGAACTAGGGGTTCGGCTTGGGCATCCGTTGTGACCGGCAAAGCCGCATCCTGGCGCGGGCAGGCAGTCAGATCCCCGACCGGATCTGCACCACTGTCGACAGCGAAGCGAAGGAGTGCCTGCCATGCCGCCACCCAGTCCTGTGCTCGAGGAGCTGCCGGTGCCACAGGCCCAGTATGTGCCAGGTCCGGAATAAGCTCGGTGTCGTTGTCCGTGATCTCCCCGGCGGCCGGCTCAGAGACTCCGGGGTGCGTCCTGTCGATTCCCTGGGCCATGGCGCCGTCTCGATTGATCTGCGAGGACTCTTGGCGGGGCGTTCGGTGCCTCCGCCACTCCGCTTTCGCCAGCGCCCGCCAGAGCTCATCGAGGGCGGTCCCGAGGCGGATGCCTGCTCGGAGCCCGCGCCCAGCTGCACAGACACAGGGGTGTCGCCCATGCCATAGTCGACACCTACCATATGGGGACGCCCCGGAAGCCCAAAGCTGGCCTCGGAGCCCATATCGCCAGTGCCCGCCAGTTGACCTTCTGCACCTTGGACGGGCTCCGGAGGTGGCGTTCGGGTCGGCACAGAGCCCTCGCCCAAACGCCACGCAGCAGAGGTAGGATCTGGAGGTCCGGCCAGTGCACCACTGGAAAAGGTCCTCAAAGCCGAGGCGATAGCCTGTACCTCCGCTACCTGGGACAAGCTCCACACTCGTCCCAGGGAGCCTTGGGCAAGAGCCACCCGATCGGATGAGGCGCTGGACTGTTGTTCCGCCAGAACAGCTTGCATCTCCTGCACAGCACCAAGGGTGTCTTCGTCGATCTTGTCTCCAATAGCTCGGACTCGACTTATGAGTCCCAGAAGATGGAGACCAATCGTCGACAACCATTGCTGCAGCGACGTCTTCAGCTCGTCCTTGGCACGAGCGTTGCCGGTCAGGCGCTTTGATAATTTTGAAATAGCGTTCGCCCTTCGTTGGGCTTGCTGCTCGGCTGTGGCATCCTCCTGGTTGAAGTTGGCCTGCAACCAGAGGTCCTGAGTCGCCCGCGAAGAGATAGACTGGAGCGACGTCGTAACCGCTGGAGGTAATCCAAAGTCTATTCGGGTCACCTGCGGTACCTCTCCTTTCTGGGAGCCTTTCCCTGATTTCGAAGATCGCTCCGAAGTCTTGGGAGGCATGCTGCCGTGGTGCCGAAGCAGGATAGAAATATCCGTGGCTTGTCCCGCACCACGGTGTAAGCGCTTTCTCGCTTGTGAACGGAGACGGCGAAGCCGCCGATGCCAACTTGGGCTCGTCCCACGTTTGCGACCCACTTTGAGAAGATAGAGGAGCCGGTGAGGAGCCAATATAAATCAATACCACACCCAAAATGGCCAAAGGTATCAGGGGTGTATACAGCTTGTTGTGATACATACAAGCTGAATACACGGAAAGGGAGATCGCCCTCCCAAAACGTTGTCCTCGTCAGCCAATTGAACGGCAGTGACGAGGCAGGCCGGGAGATCGCCCTCCCACAAAGTTGTCCTCGTCAGCCAAGTGAACGGCAGTGACGAGGCAGGCCACAGGCCAGAAGTGAGGCACCCAGGTGCCAGCACAGTCGCGCCACACGCAGCGGCGCTGGGGTCAGGAATGGCAAGGACGAGGGGAAACGCCAGGTTGGCGAGCTACCTCAATCAGCTTACCTCGAGCCGTGACGCCTCACTCCTCTAGCCCAGAATCCCGAACCCGCCACCTTGAAGGTACCTTCTCGCCCCGATCTACTTCACTTTGGCAGTGCCCGGGTCTCAGGCAGAAGCTTCTAGACTCTAGGTCATGACGCCCGAACCCTAACAAAGCCCGAAGCCTCGAGCCTTACCCCTAAACCCGTAAACGCCGAGGCCTCCACCCGTAAACTCCTCATATAAGCCCTGGCCCCAAACCCGAAACCTCTACAACCATGATCCCCAAGTCCCCGATCCGAGTCTGCACCCCGAATTCCGAGACCTCGGCCTCCCGTTGCCACGAAGAGCTGCAAGTCCAACAGTTTCAATCAGAACCTCCGAATACAGGGGTCGGAATACTCAGTAATGGCTAATAACCGTTTAGTGCTTGCGATTTGCTAAGGGAGCCTTGATGAAAAATAACACCTGTTCCTCAAGGCTTGAAGGGCTCCCAAAAACAGTAGAGTATGGAAAACGTTGAACACCAGTTCTGATGATAATTCTTCGGGCTTCTACATCCGCAACTTCATAGCTTCGTGTTTTCGGCACTCAGAGTGAGTCTGAACCCAAAGCCTTGTTTCAAGGTCCGAACCCAACCTGCACCCCAATAAATCCAAACTGACAATCAAACCGCGAATTCAAGCTTAGCAGAAGTTTCGAGGAAGTTTGGTACAAAGTCCGCCATGCCCTACACCCTGAAAAGGAGCGCAACAAAAAAAACTGAACCCAAGCTGGCTTTGATCTCTAAGGCTCGTGGATGTGGTGGCACACTCGCCCTTGGCAGCCTACTCGCGCTCCTCGCCGTTGAAAACCTCAGTAGTGGAAGGGCATCAGGGGGTTCTTACAAGTACCAGTATCTCCCCAGCCCGGTTTGGATGACTTCCCAATCTCAGAAGTCATTGGTGGGACCATGCCAATTTGGACGTTTAGGCTTCAAAGGAGCCCATGAATTCGCATGGGTATGAGGGGTTCCGATACCAGACTATTCCTGACCATTGGGCAAGCTTTCGTCTGATTTGGGTCATGAAATACCGAAGACATACCTCAAAGTCCTCAGACCCTTTGAAGCTCAAAGTCCAAAACCCGAAGCCCGAAAGCCAGAATTCGGAGAGCTAAACAGACCTCCCAAAATCAGGTGCATCTAATTGTTGAGCCCTTCATTGTGGCCTTCATTGAGCCACATTGAGCTACTCTCGGTGGCCTGGAAGAATCCGAGGTCACCTCGATCCCACCGGAGGTGACGTGCCCACCGAAGAGGCATCACACGAAGCTAGCAGAGGGGGGATTCAGAGATTGTGGGGAAGTGGTTGGAAGGCTGTGGATTAGCTTTTTTGTAGGATTAAGACCGTGCTGAACATACTACAGCACGGGGCTGCAGTTTTACAGTCCAGCATGTCAAAACTTTGCTAAACAGTATCTTGATCTACATGGTCGTCGCTGAGGTTTGCGTGTTGAGCAACACTGGTGAGTTCGGACCGTCAAAATCTCAATCCCTTGCCGATAAACTTTTAAACTCAACGAGCTCCGGCTGATGAGAACAGGGGAGTGGAGCTACGGGCTTCTGGGTTCCACCATTCAAGGTCTAGGGATTAAGATTAAGCTGAAGTTTAGTGTCCACGCAATCAGCGATGCCGGTGATATTGGCCTCGGCGTTTCGTAGGTTTGCGCACGTTCACGTTGGTGTGGGCGAGGGGGGGGGGGGGGGGGGGGGGAGGGTCCAGTTCCATCCCCATATACATCATGCTACCCAGAAGTCTGCATGGAAGTGTCCCCAGCCGCCACAACGCAGGAGCACGAAGCAAAATTTGTAATGGCAATACTAATTGTAACAAGAATTGGCAGCAGCAGCAGCAACAACAACAACCAGGACAGACCTCTTTCCCACCAGGATGAAGACGTCGCCCGAGAGCGCCGGAGGGTGTCGGAGAGCGATACGGACGTCGTCCGTCTGTTGAAGCTGCGCAAGGCACTTGATGGCTCATGAGGGCGACAGTTAAGGGCTTAGGGTTCATGAGAAAGTGCTTTCATGAAATTCAACGTCAGCACCTGTTGTCGCTCCTCTCCCGCTCCCAACGGATCCGCATGTTTCTGCTGGTGTGGAGTCAAACATCACTTGGGGGCGCCGGAGAGTTGAGGAGCCAGAGCTTGGCAGCTGCAGGGTGTTGAAGATTGTTGCAGACCATGATGAGGCTCTACGTAAAGTCCCAAAAAAACTTTGGATTCCCAGGACCCTTCATTCCTTTGAGAATCTTTCGTCTCCAAGGCTGGCCTCACCCCGGCACCCCCAGAAACTTGCATCTGAACCACGAAGTTCCTTGAAAACCACAGGCAGTTACGAGCACCAACCTTTGCCAACCTTTACTGAGAGGTCTACCGCACACCGGAAGGCCACCCGAAGGCCTGCTTGGGAAGCCAGAGCAGATCGGATGGATGGTGGGGTCTTCGTGAGCTTTGGGAGTTTTGGCTTTGTGGGGTTTATGCCTCCACACTAGCTTCAGAAGCAAGCAACCTCGGCTGGTCTCTTTAGGATTTTTTTCGCAGCACACGGAAGAAGAACCTCAATTCCGAAGGCTGCAAGCTTCAATCTTCAACCCGCAACCAGAAAGCTCCGGAAAGTAATCCCCAGACCATATTCAAGCCATCGCTGATGAGAAGGTTGCCGTCCACTCTTTGAGCTTTGGGCTGCCAAAGGCACGGTGGACTCAATCCAGGATTGACAAGAGGATCGGTGTGTTGGGGTTGAGATGTTAGGGTCTCCACTGCAAACGCGCGACCGCCTCGTGTAACATTACAGGTCTGAGGATTGGGAATGTATGGGTTGACAGCTACGGCTTGGGGGTGCCGTGTCCAGGCAGGATAGAGAGTAACGGATTGTGGCTCCCTGCAGTTTAGCTTTCTGGTAGCAAAGAGGAATGTCTAAGGGAGGGCTGGCGCTTTCGAAAAGTACAGCTGTTCGCCGTGGTTTGACTCAGCATGAACGAGCCGGTTTCCAGCCTCAAAAGCATTGAAAGTGAAACCTATCACTATCGACTCAGGCTTTGGGGCTGTTTGGTTCCTGAGCAATCGTAGTGGCACGGTACCGCTCTTCTTGCTGCTATCAGCGTCGCTTGGCAGCGGTAGTGATCGTGGTAGCGATAGTGAGATGTGGAGGAGCGGCGATTTAGACTGTCTCCGGCATTCTAGTCTAGTCATAGTCATAGTCCTATAAAGCTGTTGCTGTAGAAAGGGCGAGTGCTTCGGCTTCCTGGGCATCAACGGCGCAGCTCGGAATTGAGAATTGTTTGCGGTGTCAACGCGAAGAGTTGGCTTTGGAGACTTCCGCTTTGTGGCTTTGAAAGAGACCCCAGGTCAGCCCGAGGCATTCGCCAAAGAGATAGAGAAGGCTGAGCTCCCAAAAAAAGATATAGGTTGCATACTTAGTACGCGTATCCCTCCGTAGCCCCTGTGCTTGTTTGAGTGTAGCATATGAAAGCAACGAGAAATTACTCTGACCACCCTGACGTCCAACGGTTCAGGGCCTGAGATATCAGAGCTGCGATTTGAAGGCCGGGGTCTTCAAGCGCAGAGCTCGGTTGAAGCGTTTTTTCGAGAGCTCAGAAGGCACATGACATGCCTTAAACCCAAGCCACAGCCTCGTACCATACCCCGGAAAGCCCGAAGCCGAGGCCTGGGTTGAGGCAACATCTCGCCTACAGAATCGACAGAAGTCCACCGCAAAAGGGTGAACCCCAAAACCCTGAAGCCCGCAAAGCCCGGAACCCAAACCCTGAACTGTCACTCTCTCTCCTCTTCCTGCAGCTGTTTTCGTTCCTCCTCTCTGCCGGCTCGGCGCGTGCGACGCCGAGGAGGCGAGGATTGGAGCTGTGGCGCTTTGATAGGGTTGAGGGCTTCGGCCTTTAGGGCGTCGGGGGTTTAAGGGTCTCAGGGTTTAGGGACCCAGTGTTTGGTTCTGCAACTAAGGCTGTAGTACGGTAGACGGAAATGTGCAGGCACCTGCGTCGTCCATGCTTATCTGCTTACACACTACAGTAAGGGTCGGGAGGTGCTTTTGGGGGATGCTTACAGCGAACCCCGGAAAGTTGGAACATGGATTTAGGATGATTGGTGATGGGATTTCCTCCACTTTACCTCCGAGGCACGAGGATAATGATGAACCCAACTTTCCGGCTTCTAGTGTAATGTAACGTTAGGGCTCGCTGCTTTGCTTGTGTGACATGCATTCGCGGTTGTTCTTTCCTCTCTGGTCTCGCTTTTCACGGAGAACCATGCTGGTTGGGTGGAGTGATGGCCCTGGAACCCATCAAAAATGGATCTGACCGGTGGTCTTGGCAAGCTGCCCTAAGCTCAAGTCGCCAAAGCCTGAAACCCTCAACCCCAAAACGCTGAATCTCTGAATCTTAACATAAAGACCCAAAGCCCTTGAGCCTCAACTTGGCCAACACCGACCCAAACACGACAGGGCATGCAGGGCAGAGATG